TTTCCCTATTTGCCCTGCCTCCTCCGCTGGTTTCTGGGTATTTACTTTTTTGAAGGTTTCTGTTTGAGGATTAATTCTTCACATGTTAACAGTGGAATATTAGTTACTGTGTTATCCCCTCTGAGTTATTAGTGATCAGCTGAATTAACCTCCTAAACCAGCTCCTGTGTATTACTGGAGTAATATTACCAGCAGCTTCTCCTCTTACATACTTCAGAACTGTTTCAGAAAACAGTTACTGGCTTTGATAAGAAATTGTTTCTCCTAATTCCACCCAAAGTAACGCAGATATTTGTTACCTACCAACAGTAGTTTTAATTTTATTAGCCTCTTCCTTGTGCTCTGCCTTTTACTGTTTCAATTCTTATTTTTAAGATTACCATGACAATTTATTTTAGGCCATTTTATTCACATGACCTGCTACATACAACTGTATGGATAAAACTTCTTGGGTTTCCTTGCTCAGTAACTGCATGTTTCTCTTGCTTTGTTTCTTCCTCCTCAGTAGACAACTATAGTTTCTTACCTGAACAGCAGCTGTGGGATAAATGCACATGTTATTATTTCTCCCAGACCTACTAGCTTTCATCAGCTTATAGAAATCATGTCATTTACATTAGCTCTTGCCAACTTTTCCCCAGTGGCTAGTCTTAAAATACTGTCCAAAAATTTTTATCCTCTGTCTGTATGCTTCCTCGCCTCATGCCTCCACAGACATGCATGTTGACCCTTCTTATTTGTACAGTTACCACTTCTGAGTTGTTGGTCTCCTGCCCACAAGGGTTCTATTTTGGTAGAATTTACTTTTCTCTTGAGATAGACATAGATAATTTATTATTATTCCTCATTCCCTATTAAGCCCAAACTTAACTTAAATGTTTGTTTTTCTAAGCAGTATCTTTCCTAACCTATTTTATTTCTCTACTTTCTAAATGTAGTTCTCATTAGAAATGACAAAGACCAAAACCCTAAGAGTTGAAAAAAGCCCAAGTTCCAAAAATAATGCAACACCACACTTTGGAGAACTTAGTATGATCTCTTCTTTAGCTGTTTATATGGGTATAAAATGGGATCCTTTCTCCACAGTTATTTACATTAAAGCTACTGATAAAATCTTGCTTATTAGATATGGAAGTTTACCACTACCTCTGGCTTCCCCCAAAATCTTTAGAAGTATGTCATCAGTGTGCAATGCTGTGTACTGTAATAACATCCACGCTAGCACTGACATTGGAAGCAGACATTGCCGTTTTTGACATTACCATCAAGATGAGAAATTAAGAGCCATACTGCAAGTATGGCTGTTCTGTTGCTGGTATATGAGTTAGAGCATTAACTGCATCTGAATCTGCTCAGGTAGTTGTCCATTCCGGCAGAGTGATGTATTTTAATTGAAACGAATCCCACATCCTCCTGTAGTGGAGCATAAGCAAGATGCTGCAACCACCACATTGCATGGGATGGGATGAGATCAAGATTTTTCAAATGAGAGGCATAACACTCAACATAATTCAAGAATTCTGTGGCAGAATAAAAAATGAACAAGGTTTCCTAGTTCCCAAATTAATGCTCTCTATATTGCGCTGTCTCACTGTTCCTCTCTTACCATTGCCTTTCTCCCTGCTTGTGAAATTTCTGACTTTTTCTGTATCCTTAGGCTGTGGCTGAGGAAGGTGTGAGTGTGCTTGTTCACTGCTCTGATGGCTGGGATAGGACAGCCCAGGTTTGCTCTGTAGCAAGCCTTCTATTGGATCCATATTACAGAACTATGAAGGGATTCATGGTAAGCAGGTTCTCTTTTGTGGAGTAAATAAAATATTATGACATCATTTAAGATTAATATATTTGGTTTTAACGGAAAATAAACTTTCCTTAAATATATTCCCCCCTCACCCCCCCCCTTTTTTTTTTAAGTAGGAGGGAAGCTTTTTATCTGCTCAAGTTACAGTCTCCCAGTTTCTGTACGAAATGTTATGAAAGGTGGGGATTAGTTGGGCACCCGTTTATTTTTTTTCCTATCCTTGACCAAGAAACTTTCTCACAGCCCAAGGAGCTTTCGTAAAAGCAAGAATTTGTATTCACTTTCAGGGATCAGTGAAGTTCTGAGTGTCAGAAGTGTGTGCTCCCTAGACATTAGATTGCAATGAGCAGCTATGTTGGAAAATCTGTTCCTTTCCCAAGCAAATCAGCACTGGTAAAGCATCTAGGAATGCTTGTCAAGTTATTGGTCACAGGTTAAAAAGATGTTTGAGACATTTTTACATTCTATTTTAGAAAATAATTAATCAAGCTAATTGAAGTTATGCTGAAATACCGGCATCCTATCTGCATCCATGGAGACTGCTACTTTCTCTTGAGCTGGCAACAGTGCTCATCACTCATTATTTTTCTGCTTATTCTAAAAATTATCTGGGATTCTAATAGTGCTTGCTTACATCGTTCTTCTTGTCACTTTTCTGCTTATTCTAAGAATTAACTGGGATTTCAATACTGCTTGTTTACACGACTCTTCTGCCTGCTTCAACACGCGGCAGCTCTGCTCCACAATACTGAATGCAATATTCTCATTTTAGGTGTTAATTGAAAAAGATTGGGTTTCCTTTGGTCACAAATTTAACCACAGGTAAGGTGGTGCTAAAGTTTTTCTGTATATATACATTTATGTAGTCAGTATCCACTGCCATTCCAATTTTACTTCCATGTTGCCTATCAACAAAATGCCCTCAGGAAACCACCATATCCTTTTCTCCTACTGTATAACTTAGCTGCCTGGAAAAATCAAAGTGAAATATTTTAATATCAGTCTTTTCTTCTATATGCACTCCAAGACTGCTATTGGGAATCCTGGGTCCTGGTCTTTCAGTTGCTATGAGCATTGAGATCCATGTAAAAAAAAAAGTAGTATACATACATAATATATAAAATGTAATACGTATTTTGTGGCTTGCAAAATCCCTTTGGACTCCAGCAGATCTTTCAGTACTGCCAAAACATCCCATCTAAGTCCCTGTTCAGCAAAGTCTATGTCTTCGAGGACATTACTTAATCTTAGGCATGTCCGCAAGTTGTCTATTAAGTAAAACATACTCTTCCTATTACACTCTGTTCTAATGAAAATAGTGGGATTTGTTCAGAACCATCAGGTAAAGGGAAGGGGAAAGTCATCTGTTTGGACAAGTTATTTTGTACGTCCATAATGTAAATGCTATAATGTAAAGAAAATTGTTGAAGACTTCATTTATTTAAACATGGATGAATATCCATATTTTCCTTCTTTCTTATACTTCCTTTTGGTTTCTGTAAAAATATAAAAAGTAATTTTTATGTTGAAGTTTAATTACATTATATTGCTTGATTTGAATAGGAAATTATGTTCTACTTTCAAAAAAGCCAACAAAGCTTTCAGGAAAACAGTGAGCTCCACACCACCTGTGAAATTCTATCAGGAATTATTACAATTAATATGATCCTGTCAGACGTCTATTATTATCGGTGGTGAAAGATATCACGAAATGTAACCACCACTGATAGCTTTGGTTTGCAGTACAACATTGCTATATTCTCCATGATGCATAATAGAATTAGAGATTTCCATTTTAGATGTTTATGGAATTTCACTCTGTTGCATGCAGAATAATTGATTTAAAATTCTTCTTCCTATTATGTAGACTTATATTTTTTACTTCTATGCATTTTATATTTTCAGGCTCCTGTTCTTCAAGGTACCTCATTGCAAGTGGTTCCAACAGACATTTTTATAGATAGAAAATTTGGTGTTCACTTGACATATACAGTAGTATGTTAAACATTTCCCACTTTCTAAAAATTTTACCAAGAGAGGGCAGATTGAAACTGTTTTCTGCCAAGGTTATTCCGTTCCTCTCCTGCTCAGTTTTCTGGTTTTGGCAATGGTGTGCCATTGAGAGATGGTCTAAGCTAGGTTTTTAAAGTCCTTGCAGTCGTTCTTATGATGACTTATGTTACTGTGGCATAACTTTATAATAATAGCATTAAAGCACGGCTCTGCAGCAGCCAGCTGTTACCAGCTGTAAGGCAACAAAACACTCTTAAAGGTTTTCTTTGGTTTTGTACTTGATAAATTCTGCCTTCATTCTGCCCCATGAATCTTGCATCATTTTTGTAAGTAAAAATACACTAGTAGTTGAGATTTTAGAAATGAATGCCTATGATGTAACTTGTACGCTAAAAATGATGGGTTTGTTTTCATTACTGTTAATTCAGTTTTCCTACAGGATTTCAGGTTATAATCGAATGTGTCTTGTCTTGTTTCAGGTATGGCAATTTAGATGGAGATCCGAAGGAGATATCCCCTGTTATTGACCAGTTCATCGAGTGTGTTTGGCAGTTAATGGAACAGTTTCCTTGTGCCTTTGAATTCAATGAGAGATTCCTCATCCACATACAGCATCACATCTATTCTTGCCAGTTTGGGAATTTCCTGTGTAACAGCCAGAAGGAGAGACGAGAGCTGAAGTATGAAAGTACTTTCCTTAGTAGACGTGTGGGGTCTGTGGGTGGCAGTGTACTGAGGAGTCAGACATTTTCCAGTCTACACATATGTGCTTTTGTAAGGTATGGGGTGCAGCATAAACTTCTTGGCTGTGATCTTCTAGCAACACAGATTAATACCTAAAAAAGTTGATCCTCTGCAGTGTGGCTCTGCTGGCAGTGTAATCCATGGCATACATGACAGGGATTAGTGAAAACTGACAAGAGCATTAGCCCTTCAGCCACGTGGCCCTCCCTTTATTGCAGCATTAAAAACATGCAAGGCAAACCGTCACTGTAGCTCTAATACAAGATGATACTAATTCTAGATGAGTTCTCAATTTAAGAGTCACTGCTCTTCTGTGTTTTAACCTGTCTTTGGATCTCATGTCAGGACACTTTAGTCCTGACCTCTCAGATACTTTCTTATGAACTGCCTTTTTGTCTGATAGCCCTCCCTAGGACTGAGTCAGCAAACTGTCCTGCTGCCTGGCCCCAAAACAAACGTATTTAATCTACCTGTCCTCAGGCCCAGACAGAGACAATAATACCATTTCCAGCAGTGCTGATGTTCGTATCTCCTTCCTGGGGTCCTGGCTCCTCAGGTACATCATGATACCCACTGCTTTTCTCAGGCATCCAGATCCTGTCAGCAGCAGTAATGAGATGGAGGTGGGAGTTACTCCTTGCTGCTGCTGTTCGGTCCCTTCCACTGCTCAAAGGCAGAGCAGCCTCAGCACCATTGTACGTTTAAAATCAAAACCTTCACAGGTCATCATACCCCAAAACCTAACTGCATGAGAAAACACAACTCAACTGTGCTTTTAAATGTGGAGATCTCTTTGGTGTAGAGATCAGTCTGGAAACTCATTTTATGGAAGTGATCCTCTCCATCTCAAAGAGGAACCCATCTTTCTGCCTTCTCTCTCCAGCTGCTCTGGCTTTACAGGAAATGGATTGGATTTTGCCTTTAGTGACCAACAGAGGAATTTGGGTCTCTTTTTTTCTATAACATACCTGTGTCTCCTTTAAGGAAGTATAAAGCTGATATTGAAAATGAGTAGTACAGAGCACTAGAATGTCTTATTTAAGCTTTATCTAGATCTCAGTTGTAGTAGAGATTTTAATGTATTTGTATTTAATATACTTTTTCAGAATCCAAGAACGAACGTATTCCTTGTGGGCTCACATGTGGAAAAATCGTGCAGATTACCTGAATCCTTTGTACAGATCAGACCACAGTCAAACTCAAGGAACCCTGCACCCACAGATGGCTCCATGCAACTTCTTGTACAAGTAGGTAGTATAATTTGCTATTCAGAACTGTAGGACATTAGTACAGAACAGAGTGCCTTTGTATTCAAGTATTTCTCATCGCATAAAATAGCTTAGAGAGAGTGAATTCAGTCAGATGCAATGTGTTCTTTCCTTTTGTGCTCATAGCCAGCCAACACCTCTGCACCATTCCACAGCAGAGTATTAGCCTGAAAAGAAGCTTAAGATTAAAGCTATATTGATAGTTGTGTGTCCTAATTTCATGGTTACTCACTTCCTCCACTGAGAAATGCCTCTTTCATTTCTGTTCTTGCCTGTGGTTTCTAAATTTAAAGTTGCTTAAACATTTTCCATTCAAGATTTTGTGGTCATTATTTAGATCAACTGGTGTCAAAAAATGACATTTCAAGAAATCAGTTTCATAGCTAAAAGAAGTGTTTAGTAAAACAAAAAGCTGGCTTTCACCCTATTGTTATACCTTGAAGTATATAGAGGAAATTTTACTTCATTTTTTTTTCAAAATGTAACAAAATATCATAATTTCAGAAACGTTAGTATTGACATTCTGACTTGAGTAATTAATTGTGCTATTAATCTTAACAAGCTTAAGGAGAACTTGATTAGAAATTAATGAAAACTGTGATTTAAGTAAAATTGTGTTGTTTTCCAATTTCAAGTAAAAGCACCTGTTAATAAATATCCTAAATGACAGAAACGGAATTATTTCATGTCTGCTATTCTGGGTCATATCCACTTTAAAACAATTTAAAAATAGTCATTAATCGTATTCTTTGGGATAGTGGGATTTATAAAAGTACTGATACTGCAGATCCTCCATCAGATGAGTAATCCTGTTGATTTTAATGGCATTACTTGGGTACATAAGGGTGGTATCATCATTACTGGATGATAAACTTAAGGGGGAATGTGACTTAAATAGTATGCTATTGGGGTAGGAATAATAGACTACCAAGGAGCATGCACACACTCCTAAAATATCTGTCAGCTACTTGGCTGGACAGCTGCAGCTGAGGGCAGGTCTCTCAGATACTTAACCTGTCTGGTGAACTCGTTAGTCAGTCTGGCTGTGGCTGTGTATTGCCAGGAAGACAGAAGACAGGAGGAGTGCTAGAGTAAGCTCTGGACTTGGAGTCCTTTCCTCATGAAAATGAAAAATCAACTCAGCTGCTTAACTGAGGGTTTGTAAATAATTCCACTGAACAGGAAGAAAGCTTGCTCATGTATATGTTTCGTGCAATTTCCATAGGTCAGTTTAAGATTTCAGTTTAGATTTTAAGAGAACAGGATCCTATACTGTTTTTCACTCCTGACTTTTAACTCTTCTTTACAGGGGAAAAAACCCTGTTAACTAGCTGCACCTCGGTCGCCCCCAAACCCCACACAAAAACAAGCATACAGAATTTCAAAGTTGACTTCATGGGAAGTTAAACAATGTTTGACAATGAGGATTATGAAAACCTGTCTTTGACCTTGGCTGTTTTATAGGTACCATTGCTCTAAAACCCATAGTGTAGAACAAGAAAATAATATAGCAAAAGTTTGCGTTCAGTGAACCACCCTGAGCCATGTGATCTAAGTCAAAGGCACATTCCCCTTTCTTTCTATTGTGTATGAGACTTGGTTCAAGCTGTGCATTTACACAGAGTTCCATCCTGAGGACAGAGCCACTGCAAATGAACCATAAGTCTTACCAAATATTTAATTAACTTATGTGTATGCACTCCAATGATGAATAACCCAAAGATGGCTCATTTAGGACTACATGTGTCTGAAAAAAAAAATTGTGTATTCAAGGCTTCTGAGGCCACCTCACCAACTGAGAAAATTGCTGACATTTCCGTCAATTCCAGGTTCTGGAGTGGTATGTACAACCGCTTTGAAAAGGGGCTGCATCCTCGACAGTCAGTTACTGATTATCTGATGGCAGTGAAGGAAGAAACTCAGCAGCTGGAAGAAGAGCTGGAGGTCTTAGGAGAGGTAATAAACCCTTAATCTCAATGGCCCAGATTTAACTGATGGTAAATGAAACCCAACTCCATACTCTGTAGTTACCTACATGCTACCTCCTTTTCCAGCATGACAATATTCAGCCATCATCTTTTTCTCACAGAAATTACAACGAATATTTTGCTTTTAAGGCACAACAGTGGACTTTTTTTCTTTAGGGATAAAATTTCACCTATGTCAGTGCACAAGCACGACTCCTGAAAGAAATTTTATACCCTTCTGTAACTCAGAAGGATGGTGGAATTGAGTGTTGGCTTGTGATAAATTGTGCATTTCTCATACTCCATAAATGCAAACAGGCAGTTTTAAAGGGTGCCAATTGGGTTGGGATCTGTACTTGGTTTCTTTTTTTTTTTTTTTTTTTTTTTTTTTAAAGGCAAAGACATATAAGAGGATCACTGGGCCCTAAATGTGTCCATGTAATATATACTGTTTCCTTTATTTCAGAGATTGGCAAATCTTCAGAAATCACAATTAAATGATAATAAAGTAAAGAGTAAGCAACAAGACCGAAGCAAACAGTTTGGGCTTTCTACTTCCAACAACAGCTTAGCTAACACTCCCCAGGAGTACAGCAATGATCTGAAATCATTCCCATCCCGGAGCCCTTCACAGGAGGACGAAGATTCAGCCCTGATTTTGACACAGGACAACCTGAAAAGCTCTGATCCTGACCTCTCAGCTAACAGTGATCAGGAGTCTGGTGTGGAGGACTTAAGCTGTAGATCCCCAAGTGGGGGTGGCTGCTTGCCTAGTGAAGATAGTGGCAAGGACTCAGATGAGGCTGTATTTCTGGCAGTCTGAAATACCTTCACAACAGCAAGGATCCAGATGAAGTTGAATCTTTCAGTCTGGAATGCCATCTTTTCATCAGATGAAGAATAGGAGTGGTCTATGGCCTAAAAAAATAATCCAAAGAAAGGGAACTGTGCAATTGTGTAATTAAAGGTCTAAGCAGAACAAGCCATTATTAGTTTTAAGACATAACGCTAAAGAAAGGTATTATCTGCTGTTATATTTAGTTAAGCCAATGTGGTGGTTTGTTTTAACTTTATCAGTGCTGTACAAATTAAAGAATAATTATGTACATTTCCATCATTATTTATTGTACAAAATAAAAATTCCAAAGCGCCCTCTTACACATAGGGACAAGGCTGAAGATTCATTAGTGTTAGCCTTCTGTTGAATGAGTCAGAACTTATTTTTGTAGAGCTGTTTCGCCTTCAGACATTATATATTCTTCACTTTTTTTTTTTTTCATGGCAGGTGTTAAGTTTTGAATTCCAACAATTATTTTGCATATTCTCCTACCAGAATCCTTTAAGGCATAGTAAAACTAACAAATGGACAAGCTTGCTCAGGGGACAAGTGAAGCTTTGATCCTGCAAAAATATCCTTTAGTAAGCAGCTGCTCCTGCTGCATGTGAATGCACCCCATTCAGATGGAACTCTCAACCAGTGTTGGAAGTTCAGTAGCTACTGTGAGCAAACCTTGAAGGAATATAACAATACTTAGACAGCTTTCGTGGTAAAGCATCCCCTTATAAGGAAAGGCACATTAGGCAGTACACTCCAGACTCTTTATGTTTTGTTCTGAAATTCATTGTTTATATCTTACCCTTGTTCCAAACTGCCTACATAAGATAGAAAAGTAAAATTTTAAAGGTAATAAACCCGCAAATTCTCCAGTCTATTTTGATTCCTACTCATCAATGTTTTATTTCAGTGGGAGTGAAGTACATACACAGTAGGGAGAGTAGGGAATCCAAAATCACTTATGAAAGCATCTCTCCAAATTCAGAATAAAAGGAAGGCTATGCCCATAAAGGAACTGTTATAAAGAGTATGTCTGCAAAATTTTATCGTTCAAAATAAACTAACCACAATCAAGTGGTTTTTCTATCCCCACACAAAATTTCTCGTTTAGTATTTGCCAACCTGAACAGAGCATGACAGTGCTAATTTAAGAAAAAGACTGATTCACCACAGCAGAAAGTTCAATCTAATTTGGTTTAAGAACTTTCATAGTTTTTAACAGCAGGAGTAATAGCTTTCATAATCATAGGTATGGAAATAAACCACTGAAAAATGTTTAAAATTCAGGATGTTTTGAAAAGGGATAGCAGGATGCAATTCTTCCAAGTTTTTTTTCTCTCTCTTTTTTTTTTTTTTTTTTTTTTTTTTTTAATTAAAGCATGCAGTTAAAAATATAATTCATATGGCTGCTCTTACCTGCTTGGAGACAATGTGGTATTGAACTCTAGTAAAGCAAAGTGGTAGTAATATAAGTTTACTTTGATTGCATTTCATACTACTCTTCAACTACAGACTTACAGGCAGAATTAAATTATATAAATATACCTCAACTTAGAAGCTTTAGATTGTGTTATTCAGTCTGCTTTTATGGAATGGCTTTTCATTCTGTTCTATGAACTTATGTTATTGAAAATGAATAGGTAAACTTCAGCATTATTAGTATCCTATTAAGGGAGCCGCCGTCTTTGAACAACTAATTAAATTCCTAACATTAAGATTTATCATAATGTTGTACTGGAAAGGCAAGATCCTCAATTTGTTAAATCACTGTAGCTCAGTCCAAATACAGCTGTAATTTATACTCTGTTGAGAATCTAGCCTTCTGGTTTTTAATCTTTATGAATTTTTAATAAAGGAAAGCCCTAATTTTAATTGCACTTTTAAAAATGTTTCATATTTTGAAATAGCCTGTAAATTTTATGGTATTAAAGGTGATTTTGAATGGGTTTTCTCAAACTAAAGAAATACGCTGCAAAGTAATCAATGAAAACAAAACACACAAATATTCTGCCTAAAAATGAGTTTGAAAATGGGCAATATTCTTACACATATTTAAAATGTAAAATTGTGTATGATGGTATTATGTTCAACTAGACATGTCTAGAAGTAAATGCATAACAGCAATATATGCAAATTTAAAAGCACTGTCTTCATGTCGCTTATGCAACTCCTTGTAACTAGCTTTACAACTAAAATATTAACACTTTATATTAAGCCTTTACTTAGCAGTCCTCTCTGATGTGTCTTTCAGTGCTGGGAATTTTGCATTAGCTATTACTGTTTTCATTGTAATGTATGTATTTGTGGCATTATTAGCCTGCTGAGAAACACTTTCAAATAAACATTTAGGTCATTTAGTGTTACGTTATTTCACACCAGTGAATGAAACAAAGGTTTGCTTTGCCAATATTTGTAATACAGTTCTTCATTTACTCAAGAAGCACTTTGTCACTGCAATCAACAGATTTTTGTGTTTTCCCTATTTCAATACTTGAATCCAGTAGTTTAAACTGTGGAGGAATCTACAACTGGTAACTAAGAAAACTGAGGCTCCTGTCAATTGAGTTAATTATATAGGAGTGTGTTACACCCCTGTATTTTACTTTTTTTTTTAAGGGAGCACAAAACAAAACGCATGAGAAAACCACACTATGAACTACATTGATTTCTTGTATCCTTGTGGGGAATCTGCTGCAAATCCCTGCAAATTTGGCATAAGCCAACCGTAATTTCAAATACGACACACATGAATGTAACTAAACTGCTGGAAAGAAAGGATTAGAAGAGCATTATAGATTTCTGTGGTGTAATTTTAGCCTTACTAGGTTCAGGCTGTTCTTTAGTATGAACACATGCATCTAAAGGACACTGAAGGCAACGGGATCAAACAGCTGAAGTTTTCTCTACAAAAGATCATCATCTAAAGAACAAAGAAAACATATTCACTACCTGCTTTTATTAGTAGCTGTATACAAGACATAGACAAAAGTGGTGAACTGGTAATGGATTCTGAAAAGCAGAGAAATAAAATTAAAAAGTTGGAGGGCACAACTCAAACCAAAGGATATCATTACAAGTAATGAGAGAAAATGAAAAAAAAAATAAGTAAAAGGAGAGAGGGAGAGAAGGAAAGCTCTTTGTAAAATTAGCAGTAAGGCAGGGAACCATATTCTCTGAAGATAGGGGCAAGCCAGAGCACCATTTTACATAGCATGAAAGAAAGATGTTTGATGACACAAACTAATAACAAATAAACCCCAGCAACAAGGAGGTAGCCTTTGCAATGAAGATAAGCATTTCATCACTGTTGACCAGCTAAATTGATGCTATTATGTTGATGCTGCCCTGATCTGCACACAGAGTCCTTAAGATTATCACAGACATCATAGTTAAGGCAACTGGCTGCTTCTGTGCATAGGCTGAAGGTTCAGTGTAGCTTTTAGGTTGGCTAGTCACCCTTACACTCTGTAGTGCAGGGGCAGGTAAACACCACAGTGACTGAAAAATCCTCCAAGGACAGGTGAGCCACTGACAATTCAGTTTCCGAAGACTAAAGAACACAGTTCTTTACAGCAACTTATTCCCTTATTATTGATATACAAGCTTTCTTTGTAGCTTATTACCACATATAAATTTGATCTCTACAGGTATGCGACCAAAAGAAGACACTTAACAAAAGCAGAAGCGAGAGATGAAATACAGGTTTTCAAAGCCCGTTTTAGTGAAGGTGGCTCCAGGAATTACTGCTGTTAAAAGGGTTAAACAGGAAAAGCTGAAATCACTATACACAAAGACTAAAAGTTTGTCCTTGAGGAGCTTACTGCATCTGCTTCCAGTATAATTCTGTATCCACCAAACAAGTCCTGCAATGCCCAACTCTGTTAGACAATTGCAAGATGCATTAAAAATCCCAAAGTCTTTATTTGTAAATTTAACACATTACAGTAATTACTGTTCACATAATGTACACAATAAGGCTGTGATATCTGACTTAACTTTGTTGCCAGACTTTTAATTCAGTTTTACCTGAAGGTATCTTGAATATCTCTTTTAGACTTATCCTAGTCTTTGAAGGAAGTAGTAAGAACTTGGACAGAAACAAGACAAAAAGATTTCTAATTTCCACATTTGGTCCAGGTCCAAAGTGGCAAAGCTGCAGGAGCACGTACAGAGCAAAGAACAGAACTACAGAAGATCATTAGCTACTGCTTAGAAATAACTTTAATCATAGTCTCTTGCTTCTAATGGTGGCAAGCATACCTGTACGTATGTGACAATCTCTGTCTTTCAGAAATTGTAGCATGTCAAATAAACTGTGAAATCTAGGAAAAGTGTAAGCCCCAGCAGAATGTACCATTAACATCAGCTGTATACAAGACCACCTTAAAATGAAACCTACTCAATTTCAGACTTACATTTCAAAATTTCTCTGGTCTGCAATAGCACCAGTTGTAATTGCTATATGGAGAATTCAGTTCTGGATTTCAGTAGTCAACTGACTTAGGAGCAAGAGACCTAAACTCTGCTATAGAAAACATTTAGCAGTAAGATCAGATATTAAAACTGGTCAAAACCCAGACTCAATTAGCAGTTACAATACAGAATGCCCCCTCACCCCAAACTACTCCAACACCAGAGACAAGCCACCTCCTTACTCTCTTATTTCTTGCTCATTTATTTAACTTTTCCACTTGGCAGAACACCTCAGCATGAGCACAAGATAGTGCAAGGCTCTCCAGAAACAGGTCACTGTATGTAGTCTATTATTGCAGATTGCTTAAGAGTTCACCTGACACATTTCAGAAGATTTTAGAATATGCATCTAACAGCAGCTGCCATTCTTTTACACTTCACAGAGAATTGTTTAACGCTGGATTTACACGTACACGCCAAATTTTGGCAAAATAAGGTAAGAAATGCAGTTAACAGTGAACTACCAGAGTGCTAGAAGCCAAAACCCTAACACTGACAGAGTATTATCAGTGTTCTACTAAGTCTTCTGGTGAAATTATTAAGATTACCTATAAGGAAAAATATTCACATTGGCACAACCACTGTAGGACTGAAAGAAAATAAAAGGAAAAAACCCAACAAACCAGCAGCAGGTTGGCTTGTCCTTCAAGGGCCAGAAGCAGGCTGGCCATTCCTGCACGTGACAGGATACCTGTAGCTAACCCAGTACACCACTGTTGAATACAGACTTCTGCACTTCTTTTCTAGAGGATGGGTTTCTGACTGCAGAAGGGGCTAAAAAATAAGGGGGAAAAAAAATCCTAATAGGAATAATTATATGAGAGAGAGAATAGAAAGGCAGAAAAGAGAAGACCTTAAACTTTCATATCCCTGAACAAGAAACACCGTACTAAGAACTCGCATTGAACAGTGACATTTTCTTCTAGACTCTCCTCCATTATCTTCAGAAGGACTGCATGGACAAGTCCCGAATTTGTAAATTTGCTCACAAAAGTAACATAAAAGATGAACTGTTGAGAACTTATAATAGTTTGGGAAGCAAATCCCCTGAAGGTGACCTGGCTAGAAAGTTCAGTCACAGTAGAGCACCATAATACACCACATAACATTCAACAGGAATAGGCAGATGAGGACAGAAGTCTGTCATTCCATGCCATTATAAAATGTATAAAGAAGAAGATATTAGCCCAACTCAGGAAGAGCACCAGGTGTTTGGTCATCTGTTCCTTTCTTGGCTTTCAAGGAAAATGCAACAACAAAAAAAGCAGCCTTGTACAAGATTGTGTGTCTAGTCTTTAAGTTCATTAGCTAGATACTCAGAAAAAGATCCAAAGCAACTTGTACACTCAGCACAAAAACAGACGGGAGTTTGCCAAGAAGGCAACATTGATGACTTAAATTTAACTCTTCTCCAGAGCTGCAGAAGTCACACTACTCAGAGACTCAAGTCCAGAACCACCTGGAAATCTAAGCAAACGCATTTTTAATTAGGGCTTTAGTTAGCACATTAGCCAAAGTGCTATGTCAAAACACAAGCAATATTATGCACAGTCAGTAGAAATGTTTTTTTGCAAGAAGATACTCTAAAATTATTGCTTAACCATGGCACTTACAACCTAACCTGTTTATTTTTTCAGGCACCTAAGTATCTTCTTTGATTTGGATCACAGTTCTGTTTGCTTGGGATGTCCAATCACATAATTTGGACCAGCTTTACAAAAAAAAATAAATCTATAAAATACCAATGAATAGTTTACTCACCCTGAAAGACAGTAGTTTAGGACAGACAACCACAGTACTAAGTATGCCAGTGCTGAAACTAAAGCCCCATTTGAAGATTCACTAGCCTGCAGAACAGATTTCTTGCACTTACGCGATTTTTGTAACTCCAAATTTACTCAGTTTTCTCCAACACAGAAGAAATACCTTACTGCATTTTGCTAGAAAAGCATCGAGTTTAGGACTGAGTGAAGATTAGTGACACAGAAAGAACTCACTTGGACTGACATGCTGTAGTTTGAGACTTGAATCTGTGATGTTCTGTGACCCTATCTAGGCAACACAGAGGCAATCTCTTGGCTAAGAGGTTTATCTCCAGACTGTTTCCTGACAAGAAACAAGCAGGATTCCTGATACACTACTTAATCAGTGCTTTATCTTGTTTATCTCTCAGAACTGTACAATTCCTTCTGTTCTTCTGGAACTTGACTGTCTCCACAAAAACCAAATGCACTGACAAGATTAAGAAAAAGAACGTATGTTCTTGCAAGAGCAAGAAAGAAAATACATACATGTATTTAGGGCTTTTATTTTTCTTACATGAATACTGCACTTGGCCCTATCCATTCTCAACAGATATACCCCCATCCTAAAGAAAGTCAGCTCACCAGAGGCAAGATTCAGTGATTGAAGGGCAGAATTAACCTTGCTTCTATGTTCTATCACTGGCTTTAACATAACACACTATGTAACTCCAGCCAAATTACTTTCTTTGTTCCTTAAAATTAGGAAAAAAAACCAGCTACCTCACAAAGAACTTCAGAACTAGTTTTCGTAAAGTGCTCACATGATGAACATACTCATATTCCACAAAACAGAAACTGGGAGGTGACCGGATTATTTTTCCTTTAAGTAAAAACAAATATGAAAATGAAATTCTTAGAGGAAAATTGTTTTTAATTACAGTGGTAGGTACCATGCCATCCTGAAATGAAGTGCATCAGTGCTACTGAGCAATATACCAAATCTATGCAGAGATCATTTATTCTATTTTGATTTCAATATAGTTTGTTTCAACATATCTTTCGCTTAATCCAAATCTATTTATCCATAACAGCATACAGGCTATACTTAGTTTTGTATTATTACTTAAAAGTAAAAAACCTGTTCTTAAATTTTTTGGCTTCAAGAAAAAGACAGTTTATGAATCCACTGACAATCTCAAATTATTAACTTCTTTAGTATCCAAAGCCCTATCATCATTTATCTCAAACTCTTCCACAGATCAAGTCAAATCTATGTTTAAAGTTCAAAACACAAAAGGTATGAATTAATGTTATACAAAAATGTAAAAAGCTAGTCAAAATTACATGTTTAGATATTTAATCTCTGAAGAATGGCATATAGCAGCAGGAACTTAAATATAGTAAGAACTATCAACAATAAATATAAGAACTTAGTGCAAAGATTGCACTAGGATTCTTGAGTACAATGAGAACATAAAGAGACATTCTAATTTGTACAAAAACCATCCCGACTCTGTATACAATCTCTTCTATAAATACAACCACATAAGATGAAATGCTTATTTGCAAATAATAGTTATTAAAAAGTGTGCTTTATTGGATTTTTCACTTGTTCTCTTGGCAGCTGTAGTTTGCAGGAAGTCTGTAAAGACAAATTTCCATAATTAGACATTTTTAACTCCTCCAGAAGTTATGGTTTAAATACAACTAACAACAGATGCAGTACAATACTTGATTTCCACAGAAAGCATTGTTGGAACACTAAGAATTGTAACAAATCCATTTGCAGTTAGCAATTTGTAAGTGTGTGATAATGAGGTAAATTGTAAAAAAAAAAAATTTAAAAAACTTCACCACGAATATTAAGACAGCAATTTACCTATAGCGGAGCATGAAATTGACTGTGCATTGCTATTGCCTGTTGAAGTTTTTCCTCTTTGGCTCGTCTACAGTGGCAGAGCTAGAAAACAAGACACAGTAAGAGTGAATTCTGAAAGGAATTTTTTATCATGCATACTACAGTCTCTCTTTAATGATTTAGCTACTTTGCAGGCTCTTTAAAAAAAGGAAAACCCTGTGAACCACCTCCCTTCCAAGCTTCAGGCTGAACAACTGTCTATATTGACAACATTATTCCATCCACAACTGCTAACCAGAGAATTGTTTCCTACAATATGAAATGCATTTATTAGGCATCTTTAAAGAAAGGTACACTACCTGGGTTGCTCTTGTCACAGTATGAGCAAGAAGAGTCACTTTTGAACCTTAGTTACTTATTTGGTGACAGCCATCAACAGAATAGTTAGTTTAAGAAGTTTAACAAATTAAACATTAAGGTTGCTTAATATACCATGTCATTCTATGTTGACTTACCAAATTTAAAATTGTTCATGTGGCTAACTTCCTTACAGCTACATAGGGTATAGAAGAAAGTGGCACAAAAATATCTGTAACACAGGACTAAGGTCTAATGCACTCCCACCTTAAAAATACGTGCCTTCAGAATGCAGATTATATTCTAAATAGACTAAAGCCACCTAAAGGCATATTTTTTCTTTTGTTGGAGTTTACTAAAGCACTGTTCTGTATCACAGGACTGCTCAAAGTCTTAAATTTACTCACTACATGTATATCTCTCAGATTAGAATGACTTGTATATTACATACCGTTCTCTTTTCCATGAAACTGCTAAGGAAGTCATCTATTTCTGTTTTGCCTTCCAAGAAGTCTTCTGCAATAGTGTCAGATTCCTCTTCAGCTTCATGAGCAGCTACTTTAAGTCTGGCTTGTAGAGCACTTGGACTGCAACTCTAAAAAAGTAAAATCTCCTTTGTAATATGAAACTGTCCATCAAAACCTACATTTCCAAGAAGAAAGAGAAATTACTATATAAATACGGGATATGTTAATAGAGCATTATTATTACATAAAAGCCAAAGTGACCAGATGAAGCTTTATCTTGAAGAAACAGCATAGCTTGTTAAACTAGAAAGGATTCAATGTAAGAAAAGAGTTGCTAGTTTAGGTCTTGATTCACAATCATTCTCACAAATGTATAAAGCTTTTCAACTTTTACCCTACGCTGCAGAAAGCATCCAACTTAGAAATCTGATAGGTTCTCAAGTGCATGATTTCTGAGTAGAACTAGCGTTTGACGTGTCTTCAATAAATAGAGTCTACTTTTGAAACTCAGTAGTGAACCTGATAAGTATAAAAAAAGTAAAAAAGGCCTTACTGTTCAGCTTTTAAATACCCTTGAAATTACTGTGGAGAGGAAGACAGGAAACGAAAAAGCACTTACTCAAGAAGTAGATGGGCTGCTAGTCTAAACCAGTATACTCATGATTCTGTTCTTATAAACCTCAAACCTTATTTCTGTTTATTGCACATAATTTCATTATTTTTCCTCTAATATGTTTGGGCAGTTAATCAGAATTTTTTTTAGCAGGAGTCTGGACAGAGCCAGAACTGCAAAATTAAGATATTCATTGATTTTAGACACTTGGACTACCCTTCATCTACCCCATGAAAATTGTTTCACCTACATACTAGTCAGAAATTTCCTGTTAAATTAATCTTCTGCAAAATAAGGACAGTTTGCTGTAATAAAAGATGACTAAAATTCACCCACAGTACAAGTGAAAAAACTTGTCTGGACTTTTGAAGGAGAGGTAGCAGGAGATACCAGCTAGTGCACAGTGAACATTAATATACGAAGAAACAGCATATGTGGAAAAACAGCCCAAATCCAGCTGCAACTCCTCAACTCTCAGCCTCCTCACCATCATTAAACTGAATCAGCAAATCTAACTTAGAAAAAAGAAAAGGTAACATAGCAGTGGGGTATTTTGTCCTCTTCTAACAAGGTTTTCCAACTTACATGACACAGGAGGCATTAAGAGTCAGACTATTCTGATTTTCAAGTGAGGAAACAGTTCATTTAGATCACCACTGAAATGATTCAGTTTGCTGTTATGTAACTTATTGCTTGCTACTTCGTATGTTGTTACTTTTTGAACATTTTGAAATTGAGGTACTACGCATGCTATTTTGATAGACTTATATTCTCAGGTGACAAGCCTTGCAAATACTGAACATTTCAGCGCAGAAATTGTTTAATGAGAAGCTACATCTTTTAATGCATATACTGGTAAACATACTAAGAAATTATTCTTCCCCAAACTGCTTTCTGAAGTAATGACTTCACCCTATTTGTGCTTCAGAATGTGTAAAGTTTGACAGTATATATTACATGTTGCCTAAAGTAAGCATACCCGTGAATCACAGAATTTAAGTTTCTAAAGCAATGGTTTTAATCATTTTTATCTGGTACAGTTTTACATGATCATAATGTTAAATGGGTATTATTAATTAAAGAAGCTTTCTTTAAAAATAATTCTGTTCTTAAAACTGATTTGACCCAGGATTGTACTTAAGAAGAGCTCTAGATGCTCATCACACTCCCTTCTTCCAACTTTGCTTCTGTTGTAGAGTTAAAAAACCAAACCCGAATCCAAAAAAACAGTAGTGCAATTTTAATTCTGCTTTCCTTTCAAACTGTTTGGTACTTCACCCCATTTTATTTCATACTTGATGTGAATCTATTTCATATAAAATTAGAGTTTAACCAGAATATTCTTAATGGATAAAGATACAAATAAAAACTTCAGTTTTACTGAACTATTCTTAAAGTATAATATGATATAGAGATTATACCTCACTAAGTTCATGCTGTCTTTGCATCTTTTTTTCAAAGGCTGCTTTCATTTGTGTGAGTTGCTCATACTGGAAGGAAGAAGAAAATGAATGTTTTCCTCCCGAAAAAAACAGAATAGTACAACTAATGTTTCTGAAAAAGATTTTATTGTTCACTTACTTTGTCTAACACCATCTGTCTTTTTGCCTCGAGACTAGGCTCCAGTAACAAGTTTTCTTCTGTAAAATAAAGTAATTGTTACTACTTTTTTTAAGTGCGTTTTTAAAGTTGTGTTCAGTTTGCAGAACACAACCACAGATGCTAACGTTTTGATTTCTTACTTGCCAGCTCTTCAATGCTTTTCACTAATTCATCTCTATCAGTAATGACTTGCTTCAGTTGTGGTAGAGTCACAAACTGTTCCAGTAACACTTCCTCTTGCTCGTTCATACTGGTCAGCTGTGATATACTACATTCAAACAGAAAAAACCACAGATTTAAAGCTAACAGCAAACACTATGCGTAGAGTTACTAATTTCTGCTGAAAGTCAAAAGTTTGAGGCATTTATTGCGACTTTACAGATACACTATACTTGACCACAATTTATTTGTCCCGTTTCTCCTGGATTGTGGGTTCTGCTATCTGCAGCAGTGAGCTTAAAAAGCAGTGTGTTAAAAAGTATCTCTCATTTCAAGCCTTACTTCCTATAAAGTTTTTTAGGAAGTTTTTTAATGCTTCTATAGTGGGGTAACCTTGTCCAGCTACAGTCCTTTTGAATTTAAGAGAATGTAATTTGTGAACCAGTCTCAAACCCATTTCCCTGTCCCTTTCCTCCTTCAAAAGTTACACTTCTTGTATTAGTAGAAACTAAGTCCCTGGCAAGGCCCCAGAAGACAGCAGAAAACTTGATAGTTAGCAAAAGTAAAAATAAATGCTCTTTTCCTGGTGTTGAATCCTAAAGTGCTGAGAAAACCCTCAACAAGCAGCACATGTGAATACAAGGCTGGCTTACTTTCTGACTGCACAATTTTGGTAAGTGGCAGTTCTATTTATAATTTTGACAAAAACCTTTCAGTGGTGTATACAGACTTTCAACAAAAATCAGGTCCAGGCCAACAGTAATTGCCTTTTAAGGACTATGGAAAGTTTTTCTACCTTCTGAAAATTTACCTTAGTTCTGAGAGTTCTGGAAATGTATCAGGAATATCAGGCATCTTGTAAGTAAATCCATTCTGGCCAACCTAGACAGAAGTTTAGAAATGCTTAGTAGATTTTTGAAGAGCAACTTCTTTATATTTAACCTGATCAATCCAAAACTGGAGATCAGTATTTGCCAGCAAGAAGAAAGGTAGGAAAAGCAGTAAGAACCAGTAGCATTAGTCTCTGAACAGAAGATGTCTCAACTCAACCATGGCAACAAAATACAGGGGGATGTTTGGGGTGGCATGTCATAAAAGATGGGACAATTTTGGAGGAAAATAATTCTGTCTTGCTATGTGTTCCATTTGGCAACAGTTGGATGACCCAGGAAACACACAGGAGTATAACTCAGAGAAGTGAGAACAGAGAAAGAAATTGACGTTTTGATCTCTTTCATGTGGTTTTTTAAAGCTATAATCCCTTGGTAAAAAATATTTTAGACAAGGAAAAAAAGTCTGTCTTCATAGAATGCAGAAATTTTAAATTCTACAAAGCCAGAAAAGTGTCTCCCAAGATCAAGAAAGCCTTTGTTTCTAAAGACAAGATTTGATGAAAGAGTAAAGATTTAAAGAGGACATTCAAAAAAATCCTTCCAGAGTGCATCAGTGAGAGGGGGTTTGTTAGCACACACACACAAGATCTGTGAAGAGAAGCTATTTTAAGCATGAAAATGAGAAATAAATACTCTACATATATAGGCTTGAGACTGCACATTGTTCTCACCTGATAGGTTCTGGGCAAGAAATCCCATATAGAGAAAAGAATCTAATTTTCTATGGCTGGAGAAACAGTCCCAGCTGCACTATGGGGGAGTGCAGCTAAAAAAAAAAAAAAGGTATATTCAAAGATATTTAGCATAACACTACTTTCCCTGAAACTCAGGAAGACAAACTTGTTGGTCTGACTTAAAGTTTGTTCTAAAAAACTTTTCATCAAAGCCAGAATGACAGTTTCATTTTCCTAGCACGAGCAAAACAATGAAGTGCAGTCACTCCGACTGCTCCCTTGAGTTTTGTAGCAATGCTCTGTGTGCCCTTGAAGGAACTTATACCCCGTGTCTGACAGATTAAGCAACAAAACTCAGCGCACAGACCTGAAGCACTGCTTCTGCTGTCGGAACAGGTAGTGGCAGATCAGCAATCAAGCCATAAGAGGGAGCAGCAGGCTTGTCGGTAGTGTAGCTTGAAGAAACTGATTCAGGAACAGGCACAGCTGCCATTGTTCTATTTGTTTCTTGAGGTGGATATGGAGGAAGAAAGGGAAACCCCTGAGGAGCATAAGGAGGCATTCCAGCTGGTTTATTGAAAAGGCTAAAAAACAAATAAAAAACCACAACTATAAGCAACCAACAGCACATTTCTTATAATTTGAATTATAATTACTAGACCACATACAAGACATAAGATTGAATTTTTAAATGACCATAAACTTCGCATTTTCTGTTCTTGTTTACTTCCAACATAGTAAGTCTACTTTATGTCTTATTCTGCAACACAACATACAATTCCATTAAATTATATTCTTGTAGAGCAGCCAAATACACACACTCTTAATTATAAGAAAACTACTTCTCAAAAATTTATGAAAGTGTAATTTTTTTCCATTTAAAAGTCCTGAGAAATGCATCTGTGTCATACATTAGTTCTTATTTATGGTACAGCATTTAACAGCTTGGGCAACACAAACACACAATTCACAACTGCAGCTGCATCTAAACCCAGATTGTCAGCCATAAGACCCATAGCTGTACTGAAAAAGCTGTAATGTCTCAGACCACTTTGCATGTTTAATACAATTATTTAAATTGCACAATTTCTGTTGCACTGTTGTGAAACAGAAGCTGCCTCTAAGCCTGGGAAACTATGAACAGAATATGAAGAAACACAACTGCTCAGATCATGATCTACAGCAAATTCAATATTTCATCTCATAATGTAGACATTTATTCTTTCTCAAGTAAACAGAAGCGCGTGAAGTTACATCAGCATATGGCTACAGTAACTCCAATTAAATCCAGTGTTTCTTTTCAAAACAACCATGCCATCAAGCATGCACATGAAATTGTGCAAAAGCAGGGAATCTATGTCTCCCAATACATTCACCACACTATTCCTGCTCCTGCCTTCCCAATACTTGGTTTCATCTTTTTTTTAAAAAATGTTATGTTAATACACATAGATACTTACTATGGAAATGATGTTGAGCTAGGAGCCAGAACCGGAGGATTCTTCCAAAATTCATCCAATAAACTTTGAACAATTTTTCCAAGATCTGAGTGCATCGTAAACTGGTAAAAACAAAAAATAAAACCCAATGAAGAAGAAAAATTATGCCCGGAATCCAACAGTTCTAAAATATGCAGAACTTGACTGTTTATTATAACCATACGGCAGTGCTGGAAGCTATTCCAGAGACAGACCAGCTAATGTAAAATGTGTATACATAAGCTCCAAATAAAGTGATAAAGCCATGCAGAACTGAACAGAAACTAAGAGTCTTTTGAATATTCCATTATCAATGGAGAATCAACCAAGTACAACATTTCTGATGAGCAACCAAAAAAATCCACCTCACTTACCAAGTTACATTTGGGAAAACAAAAAGGAGGAGGGGGGGAACAAGATTTGAGACGCCAAGCATTAACTGCACTCTGAAAAAGTCATAAGCTTCCCGCCACTGCCACCCCAAAAAAACTACCACATCCCTACTGGCAGAGAAAAGGAAAAAAAAAAATAAAAAGGAACAGCATGTTGAAATCCTGACTATTAGAACTAAAACCTTGACATCTTTCTAATAGGATTAGGGTAGAAAGAACTACGTTACAAAACAGTCTTAAAGCATCCTTGATTTCAGTAAAGCATTTGACACCG